CCCTGTGCAGGCCTCCTGGGCATGTCCTGACCCTGTGCAGGCCTCCTGGGCATGTCCTGACCCTGTGCAGGCCTCCTGGGCATGCCTGTACCCAGCAGACAGGCAGAGGAGTGGCAGCCCTCACAATGGCAGCCCTCTCCTGTCAGGTGCAGGAAGTGGAGAAGCACAAGAGAAGCTAGTTTTGTGGCCCATAATTGTTAAACATTAGAGGACGAAGGAGAGAGAGGAAGGCAGGAGAGGTAAAGAGGAGCCACAGGGAAGAGGAAAACGGGAAGGAAGGAGGCCTCGGGGCCTGGCAGCTGCCGAGGAGGGCGCGGGCTCCTCTGGGTGCCTGATGAGGACAGGTGTGAGCAGCGTGGCAGTGGTCCTGTCCGGGTGTGAGAAGCTGTGCAGTCGCAGCTACATTTCATACAGTCGTTAAACGCCTGCAGGAAACGTGAAATCTTCTGCAGAGAGAAAGGAGGGCATGGCAAGAAACCCTTGACAGGGCCTGAGCCGATCCCCACTGCCCTGGGCACTTCCCCAGGAGCCCCACCTGGTGAGGCCCAGGCGGCCGGCGGATTGAGCCCTGTCTGTGGCTGGGAGGAGGACCGTGGCTCACGCAGCCCACCAGAGCCTCCGCCCTCTGCTGTCACTGTCCCCAGCTTCAAGTTCAAGCTGACAGGACAGACCCACGGCCCACACGCGTCCCCCTCGCCACCCATGAGCCTGGCCTCGCTGGCCCAGGCTGGCCTCCTGACCTTTCCACCAAAGGACTCGGTGCCTAGCAGGTGGGTTACCCCTGACCTTGGGTGCTCTACCCCAGCGTGCTGCACACTCAGCGTGTCCAGTGGGGGGATCACAGAGCTCCACTGCAGTGGACAAGGTCCAACCCACCGCCCATTAAGGTGGAACAAGATCTCAGCTGTGACCAGGGCCAGGGGGAGTGGGTCCCAGCTACTGGGGCCTCTAGGGGGGGCGTGTCCCACAGAAGGCATGCTGGCCCTGGATTCTAATGAGGTGTGGGCCCAACCAGGAGAAGAAAAGAGGGAAGGGTGTGCAGAAGGAACAGCATATGCCAAGTCCAGCAGCAGGTAGGAGCCTGGCAGGAGCAGCGGGGAGAAGACTCTAGGGGGTGCAGAGGGATGGGAGTGTCGGGACGGGCCTGGAGCCATGTCTGCAGGGGTGATGCCCAGCGTGGGCAGCAGGTGCAGGAGGCCAGTGCTTCCCTGTCAGCCTGTTGGTTTGCAGCACCCTGTCCCTTGGGGCTTTCTCTGACTCAAGTCAGGCCGCCTGTCCTGGTCATGGTCAGGGAGCCAAGGTTTGCTCTCAGGGAAGACTTCTCAGAGCTCCTTCTTGCGGAGCACAGTGGTGCTTGCCTGTAATTGCAGCGTCTTGGAGAGAAGCAGACCAGAAACCCCCACCCCAAGGCCCTGCCATGACGTAGCCTGGCCTCTTCTCAGGTCAGCAGGACGTCTGCAGAGGTCATTGAGGTTGGAAGTCCCTCTTTCTGGTCGAGGCCATGTTTGTGCACAACAGGTGTGATGGGTCAGGGTCCCTAAGCCTGTTGTGCAAAAGTTACTCTCTCTCTTTTCTTGGTAAAGACTTATGAAACGTCTGGTCTAAAAAGCACTTTCTGAGAACTCAAAGAAAGAAAAATGTTACTTTTATATAGACTCCTCCTGTATGGAAACTCCAAGCCCCCACCCCTCCATGCTGGGTCTAAAGTTTAAGCAATTTCTAGACTCATGGTCCAGAGAATGGTTTAGAGTGTCCAGTAGCACTGTGGACTGGCTGCAGCCAATAAACCTGCTCCCTGAAATCCCTCAGGTATCCAGTTCCTTCTGCTGCTTCAGGAGGCTGAGGCAGGAGGATGGGAAGTTTGAGTCCAGCCTTAGCAACTTAGTTAGTGAGGTCCCAAGGACTTGGCGAGACCTTGTCTCAAAAGATAACATAAAAAATGAGCTGGGGAGGTGTCTCAGTGGTGAAGCCACCCTGGGTTGAATCCCCATTCCAAAAAAATAAAAAGAGAACTCTTTCTTTTTTCAGGACCACATTTAAGGAGTTTGCTGAGAAGTATGGTCGGGATCAGAGGTTTCGACTCGTTCAGAAAAGAAAGGATCAGGAGCATTTCTTCAACCAGTTTATACTTATCCTTAAGAAACGGGACAAAGAAAACAGACTAAGGCTACGGAAAATGAGATGAATCTGTGGAAAATTCCGTAAGACCGCGGGCAGCTGAGAGCGTGGTGAGGGGCCAGGCATGGAGCCCGGCCGGCAGGGGCCTCCGCGTGGCGGGGGGCCGAGGCCTGGGGGCTCCTTCTCAGAGGATTACTGTTTCATATTGAAGCTCTCTTTTGTACAACATTCCGAGTTTGACGCATTTCTAATTGCCATGATACTGTTGATTCCTTAATTGTTTTAATTATGCAAATTTACTTGTAATATACACAGATTATAAGCCCACTGCAGGTTTGTAACAAGGAGAAACCATCTATAATAATCTTGGGGTGTTTTCTTCGTGGAAAAGATTACCTGGGACTTCCGGGCACCTTGGCAAGTTGCTCCGCCCTGTGGGGTCTCTGTGTGGCAGGAAGTCCCCTCGCTCCAGCCCTCCTTGGTCTCTGTCTCATTTCTGAGTAGTAGAATAGGGTCTCATCGCTCATCATAGTGACAAGAGAACATTCCACACGTAGACCCCGCACCACCTGCGGTGGCCACAGGTGACTGCCCATTCTTCCCTGAGGGGCGTCCAGGCCAGAGGCAAGGAGCCACGCTGGCCGTCCGCCAGAGGTCCTACGACAGAGAATTATTTTGTACAAAATCATCATATTAATATTTGAGTTATTTTTATTGTATGCCCAGAGTTTGCATGAGACTTTTCTCATCATCTTTGTATAAAAATTTTAAATTTTTTTTAATCAATAAATATTTTAAGGCAGTGTGTTTTTGTGGCAGAGGTTTCTACCATAAGCAGTAAAATTGTATGGACTAGAGACGCAGGTCTCAGAAGACTCGGGTGGGAACTGTGACTCGCGGGAGGTGAGGGCCCTGAACCTCAGAGGCCCCTGGCAGGCTCTCCAGCCCTGGGCGGGGCAAAGACTGCGAGAGGGCTCCTCACGTCTGCAGGTCCGTTATGGCCTGTTGGCCCTCAGGGAGCAGTGAGGGCCTCCTGGCCTCCTGCTCCTCCGTATGCACAAGAGCACTTTCTGCCACGTGTACCAGAATGTCGCTGGGACCTTCCTGGGACATGCCCTGGCCTTCACAGCTGAGTGGTTGGTGTGTCACCGCCTCTGTCAGCGACTCCAGCTGCCTGGGCCTGGGCTTCGGATCAGGGCCCTGAGCGAGCTGGCCCAGGCCACGGCTCAGGCAGCATGGCAGGACCAGACTTCCAAGGACCCAGTGCCAGTCCAGGACCAGGCGGGTCCAGGTGGGAGCTAGAGACCGCCCGTCACCCCAACAGGGACCTTCCTGATGGGGACAGGTGTGACTCTGGTGCAAGAGCCGGGGCTGGTGAGCTCAGATAACCGTGGGCAATGCTGGACTGACAGACAGACAGAGCAGACCCCTGCAGGGCTCAGCGAGCCCAGGAGAGAGGGCCCCGGCCTGACCAAGCTGAGCAGCTGCCCTGCTGGAGAGGGCCCGGCGGTTCTGTGCTGCAAGTCTGCTGATGCCTAGTGGGAGGGCCACCTCGTGGGGCACTCCAGTGGGTGCACCCGGCCCAGGCAGGGTGGCCAGGGGCGGCAGGGGTTGGGTGGGAGGAGCTGCTGGGCCCCTGGGTTTGCATGGAGGGAGGCCCTCTCCCACCCACCAGGGAGAGGTGCCCCTTGAGGGCCACTGCTGGCCAGCCCACGCCTGGCAGGGGCCGCTGACCTGACCACAGAGCAACCGGCCGCAACCTGATGGGCCATGTTGAGCTGGAGCTCATCCACCAGCCTCACGTGGGGTTTGCTCCGAGGGTTTCCCAGGGAGGGAAAGGCCTGGACCAGGTGCCCTGGGCAGCTCTCGCATCCCCTGGGGCTGTTCCCGGTGTGTGGCCTCTGCCTGGGGTTGGGCTCCCTGGCACCTCCCCACAGAGGAGGGGTGTGCAGGCGGATCTCGCCGAACCTCTCTAGTGCTGGTCCATCAAGGGCGCCCTGCATCGGTAGAGAAGTCTGTGCAGGGAACCGAAGCTGCAGAGGAAGGCGGTTCTGTGGACTGTGTCCTCCTAGCTGGGAAAGGCCCTGAGGTGTGGGCGGGGCCTAACGAGGCTGCTGGGGATCTGGAGAGTATGAGATCTGAAGGTCAGTGGTGAAGGGCTGCTTTCCATTGCTAAAACAAAATACCTGAGGCTGGGCAATTTTTACAGCGAAGAGATTTATTTAGCTCATGGTTCTGGAAGTCTGAGAGCTTTGGTAAAGGCTTCCTGGCAGATGGCATCACAGTGGCAGAAGAGAAAGGGACAAGGAGCAGTGACATGGTGAGGCAGGAGGTCAGAGGGTGAGGAGAGGTCTGTTGTGCCTCTTGGAGGAACCAGTCAGCAGGTACTACCTGGGTCCCCACGTGAACTGCACTAACCCTATTTGTGGACAGGCCCTCAATGACTGATTGCCATCAATTGGATCATGAATGTCCCCAAAGTCCCCTGGGTTAAAGGCACGGTCCCCAGTCCAAGGCACTTTGAGGAGGCCAGGGAAGCTCGGTCACTGGGAGGGAACTTTTGGGGGGATGTTGGGTCCCCGCCCTCTGATGTCTCTTTTCTTGCTGGCTGTCAGGAGGTGAAGTCGCCTCCTCTGCCACCTGCCCCTGCCATGAAGTGCCACCTTGCCCCAGGACCAAAAGTAACCAGGCGACCAACAGGGACTGAAACTGCAAACTGAGCCCAACCAACCTTTCCTCTTTGGGCCYGTGCTGACATTGGGTATTCCATCACAGTGGTGGAACCCGCCCAGCACACCTGGACCTCGCCCCTCAGGGGCCTCCCAGCAGAGACCAGGCCCCCAGCAGGTGCAGCCGGTGGGACCACTCAGCCGCATCCAGCAGAGCAGTGGGATGGCGCAGGGTGTGGAGATGCTCCTGTCCCTGCAGTGAGGGGTCAAATGCGGGGTGCACATGGGAGTGATCCTAGTGCCTTGGCCCGTGTCTTTCCCTGGATTCCTTGAGGGTAGCTTACTGACCAACACCAAAGCCACTCTGGTGTCCAGGGTGCAGGGACACCTGAGCTGGACAGCTGTGCTCACCAAGGCTGGCGTGGCTGTGGCCACTGGGCACCCTCTGCAGGCCAGTCCTGTGGGATCCTCTCTGTTGGTGGACAGCCTGTTCTCCTAACTAAGCACCCCTCAGGTGCTGGACCTGCTTCTCCCATCTCCACAGTCTCCACAGTGGAGGTGGATTGAGCCCTCTGTTGCCATGTTTCTCAGCAGGGTCTTCTTTGACCCAGGACTTTATTTAGGAGGACGTAGTGCAGTGATGGGCTCATGGCCAGGGGTATCCCCAAGCACCCTCCTCCCAGATGCAGCCGGCTCCAGGGTCTGGAAGGGCTGAGAAGCCCGAATCCAGGAGGCAGGGTGCTGTCCCAGGGTCCTGGCACAGGCCTTAGGCCAGTGCCCACATGAGCAGCTGACCCCCTGGAGTCATGGTGCGTGGCCCTGGTCACCACGAAGTACAGAGACATGGCCCTCTCGTTGGTGATGAAGCCCTCCCTCCCACAGCCTGGGCTCGGGGACACCTTGGTTCCCTCGAGGTCTGGGCTTGCTTCCTGGCCCCTCAGGCTCCTCCTGTCCTGAGCCCTGGGTGGAGCACATGGCCGCTGGCTGCCTGGACGCGGCCTGCCAGCTGGTTCATAGGGAGGACGCGTCTGGTCGGGGCTCGCCAGGCTCTGTGGGCAGGGCTCTGGGGCTTAGCGCTGGCCAACAGGAGCTCACGGACTCCCAGAGTCAGAGGCAGGGAGACCTAGAGGACGGTCACTGCTCTGCAGGGCAGGGGAGTGACGAGGAACTCTGGGCCGCGGGTAGAGCTGAGATCTCTGGCACAGCAAGCAAGCATTTCCAGGAGGGCTGAGTCTCCTGTGACAGGAGCCCCTGCTTCCTCTGTTCCCCAGCATCACACCGACAGCAGTCTGTGGTCATCAGAGCAACACGTGGGTGTGGAATGGGGGAGCCGGGCTGGGGTGGTCCTCCAGGACCCCGGGGCTCTGCCCAGGGACAGGCCAGGCAGAGCTGAAGTCACCCTATGTGCCACCTGCACATCTGGCTCTGCTCCTCTGGCCTGGTCTGATGGGGGGTCTGCTCCCCTGAACCTTCTCCACAGTGGGGGACGGGCACTGAGCTGCATGGCGTGCCAGGCCAGGCCCTGCTCCTCACTCAGGGCACCTCCCTTGGGGCTGCCACCCTGTGAGGAGGCCCAGCTGACCAGCTGGTCATGTGTCAGCTGCCGTCTCCAGGTGGCATCAATAGGTGAGCAAGGGAGTGAGCTGTGGGGGATTCTAGCCCAGCCTTTGAGAGACACCAGCCGACAGCCAGGGCAGGCGACGTCCGCCTTGTCCAGTCACAGCCATGAGCAGACCAAGAGCTGCTGCTGCTGTAAGCCATTGCATCTCAGGGGAATTTGGTGTGCCGCCTGTGTGACTGAAGCCACCCTGTTTCAAATGACGGTGACCCTTGATCTGTGAAGAACTCAGAAACTAACCTTAGTGGGTAATTCAGCAAGACAGCTCCTCCAGCAGACTGGGCTGGGCACCTTGCCCCTGCCTCATGGGGTCCCTCAGCTGTCCTCTGCCCCCCCTACCCAGAAGACCCTGGGGTTTAGGAGACAGGCGCCCGCCACAGCCACCTGATCCAAAGTCTTACATCCAGCGGGCCCGCCCAGACCAGGGGCACACATGGGTGGCACGTGGGTGGCAGGGGTACACCAGGTCTGCATCTCTTTCCCACGGGGATGGCCTTTCACACAAGCCCTTGGTCCCAGGGGCCAGGTAGCTCTGCGGGATTTTCCCTATCCACCCCTATCCTTCCATACCCGAGCGTCCCTGCTCACACTGGTGTGTCTGTCGGCAGAAGCGTGGCCCTGTCACAGTAAAGCCGAGTTGGACAGCTTGCTGGACATTCTCAGCGTGACTCTGGGCATCTCTTGTCCCTGATCGGTTACCTGTAAGTTTCTTCGTGTTTAATTTGGGAGCAGTCATGGGGGCATCTCCACGTTCATCCCCGTGTGGMCTTCCATCCCGTT